TCCACCCGCCTCGGCCTCCCAAAGTGCTGGGATTACAAGCGTGAGCCACTGCGCCCGGCCATTTTTTTTTTTTTTTTTAACAGAACAATTGAACTATGTTAGGCTTAAGAACCAGGAAGTTGGGCAGGCACTGTGACTCATTCCTGTAATCCCTGTACTTTTGGAGGCTGAGGCAGGTGAATCACGAGGTTAGGAGATCGAGGCCATCCTGGCTAACATGGTGAAACGCCATATCTACTAAAAATACAAAAAATTAGCTGGACGTGGTGGCATGGGCCTGTAGTCCCAGCTATTTGGGAGGCTGAGGCAAGAGAATTGCTTGAAACTGGGAGGCGGAGGTTGCAGTGAGCCGAGATCGTGCCACTGCACTCTAGCCTGGGCAACAGAGCGAGACTCCGTCTCCAAAAAAAAAATAGAACCAGGGAGTTACTCTGTGGGGTTACGGACTTAACCAAAATATTTCCTAGCCCTTTAGAGGAACTTTGAGTTTTCTGTCCTTTATCCTTTCCTGCTACCCTCTCCCCTTCCCCTGTTTGAGTTTATTTGCTTGCTTTATGGCTGTTAGGACGTTAATCAAACAATCTTGTATTGCCCAGAAATATTTAATTTTAATATACCATTGTTCATACTTAAGTTCATCACTGGTGAAATTACCATGTTGATTATAGATAGCCTCAGAGGGAATATTTTAAAAAATGTTTTAAAATTGTAAACATATATAATTACGTATGTAGTTAAACATATACGATTTTACTCTTTTAACCTATGTATTTATATATGTAAATGGTGGGTAGGTAGAGATGGGGTCTTGCTGTGTCATCCAGGCTGGTCTTGAATTCCTGGCCTCAAATGATCCTCCCACCTCAGCTTCCCAGCGTGTAGGTGTGAGCCAGCACACCTGGTAGTTTTTAAGTGTACAAATTGGTGGTGTTATGAACATTTACCATGTTGTGCAGCTGTCACCACTTTCTGTTCCAGAACTTTTTCATCAACCTAAACAGAAACTTTGTACTTTTTAAACAGTAACTCTCTCCTTTCCCTTTCCCCTGTTCCCTACTGTTATCCTTTTATCTTTTCTACTTTCTGTTTCTATGAATTTTCCTGGGAATTTTTTTTTCCCCCCGAGACAGGGTCTGCCTCTGTCACCCAGTTTAGAGTGCAGTGGCGCAATCTCAGCTCACTGCAGTCTCTGTTCCCTGGGCTCAAGGGAACTTCTCACCTCAGCCTCTGTAGTATCTGGGACTACAGGTGTGTGCCATCACGCCTGGCTAATTTTTGCAATTTTTGTAGAGACGGGATTTCACCGTGTTGCCCAGGCTGGTCTTGAACTCCTGGGCTCAAACAATCCACCTGCCTCGGCCTCCCAAAGTGCTGGGATGACAGGTGTGGTGGCCAGAATTTTTTAATCCACTATACTGGTCTGTGTTTTACACTTGGCAGCAAAAGCTCTTGGTGCTTTTGGATCTTGTTTCATTTGTTGGACATTCTAGTAAAAAAAAATTTTTTTTTTAAATTAAAGGTAGGCAAGGGTTGAGGGAGACAGCAGATAATTGCTTTAAAGTTTGCTGAAAAACATGCTAACTTTATTATTGTTACCCTTTTCTCTTTTTTTTCCTAGGACTTGGATGTTGTGGGTGATGGTATGCAGTGTCCTCCTTCACCTTTGCTTTTTGATCCTTCACTAACCCTTGAAGATCATTTAGTCAAAGAAATTGCTGAAGACCCAGTGGATATTTTGGCAAGTGAAGAACAATTCTCTTATGTAGTGACCTGGCCAGGCAGAGGGTTCCCTGCTGGCTAGCATGTACTCCTGGAGGGGAATGGGGTGTTATCACTAGTATAAAGATGCTCCACTATGGCTCTCGCTCATTGAATACCATATAAGCAAAGCACTTTAGAAAATGCTCCACTCTGCTCCTGAATACCCTTGTTGCTGTAGTTCTCCAGATGGGCTTAGACTACCTAATGGCCCCTGATCCTCATATCCCAGAATAGGACATAAATTTATTTAAATAAAAGCTTGAGACAAGTAATCTGGGTAAATCGTACCTTCTGAGGGAGAGTTCAGCACTGAAATTGTTCTCATTGTAGAAGGACCAGTAATGTAATGTGATTTGAGTTGTTTCTGTGGACTTTGGGTAGAATTCCAGTGGCCCTGACTGAAGACCAGCAGTTGTACTATAGCTGATGGTTTCAAACAGAGGCCTAAAGGACTATCTTCCTATGGTCTGTTGGCTGTTCTGGGACCTCAGCAGGGAATGGCTATTTCATTTGGAAGAAACAGCCTACAGCTCTCCGTCCCATTGGAATATCCTCAACAACGGGCTCTTCCAAGGGACAGGAATAGCTAATATAGGGAAGAACATCTGCCCAGAATTAATTTATTTCTGCCGTATTGTTCTTATTGCTAGTATAAGTGGCCATTGATAAGTCAGATTAATACTTCAGACCACAGTGAATGAATTTCTAACTGCAGTGCCTTTTTTTAACAGGGCCAGATGCAGATGGCTGGAGATGGGTGCAGATCCCAGGGATCTCGAAATTCTGAGAAGGCTTCTGCACCATTGTCTCAGAGTGGATTGGCTACTGCAAATGGGAAGCCAGAACCCACTTCTATTAGTTGATAGTTTTGGGAACCATTTTACTTTGGCAGATTTAAATTTCTCATTCTTCAAAGAAGTATTTCTGATCATCTCTCACAAAACACAGGCAACTCAACTACCTTGTTTTTCTTCTGGATTGAGTATTACAGTCAGACATAAAACCAAATTTTGAGGGAATAGACTGATACTTTTGAAAAGTTGTGGGTTTTTTGGGAAGACAAAGAGCTTTGATAATCCTTATCAAAGCTTCTGGGATTATTTGGGACTATACCTAAAAGGAAAGAGACATCTTTGTAATGGGATTTCCAAAGTCATGGATAGAAATCCACTTAAGTAGCTAGGTGGGAGCTGTCTTTGTGAGTGGTGTCTTTGAGATAGTGATGGCCCTAATATCTGGTTATCTCTATCTAAAGGCCTTGCAGTTCAGCGTTTCTTTACCTCTACTTAATTGAGCAGTCTTGAACCCCTTTCCCTGGTGAATTCTGGCTTTTATCCTCTGAGAAAATAGCCCACAGGACTGGGTCCTCCTTATCCATCTTGCTTTTAACCTATGTAAATTTCTGTGGTGGCTATCTTATGTAAAATAGAGTAAAAATTTATTGTATATAGTTTCTATTAAATGTTAAAGAAAATGTTATGAAAATATCAGTCACCTGAATTGAATGCATGTTTGTTTGAGAGTATAGTCTTTTTTACGGTTTTAGGGACCTATCTGATGGGAAAGGGAAGTTGGGACAGATAATACTTCCATCCCAGGAAGTAAACTTTCAGTAGCTCATTTTGGTTTTGCTTTGAAGGAAGAAGTAAAAGAAAAGGGGCAGGACTTATTAAAGCCACTCAGTCCCAAATATCTTTCTTCTTTTTACCCTCCTCTCTCTGTCCCCTACACCCACTCCCATTTCTCACAATGCCAATGCCATCTGCCGGGCATGGTGACTGATGCCTGTAATTCCAGCACTTTGGGAGGGTGAGGTTTGTGAGCTATCACTTGAGCTCAGGACTTCAAGACTAGCCTGGGGAACATAATGAGACTCTGTGTCTATACTTTTAAATTTTAAATAATTATTTAAAAAAAATAATGATAGGCTGGGTGTGGTGGCTCAGGCCTATAATCCCAGCACTTTGGGAGGCCAAGGTGGGCGGATCATGAGTTCAAGAGATTCGAGACCAAGAGATCGGAGACCATCCTGGCCAACATGGTGAAACCCCGTCTCTACTAAAAACACAAAAATTAGCTGGGCCTGGTGGTGCATGCCTGTAATCCCAGCCACTTGGGAGGCTGAGGCAGGAGAATCCCATGAACCTGGCAGGCAGAGGTTGCAGTGAGCTGAGATTGCGACACTGCACTCCAGCCTGGTGACAGAGTGAGGCTCCATCTTAAAAAAGAAATGCTATCTCATAATTCTTTAGTGGTAGAAATATACTTAAAACAGAGAAATTGGGGCCGATGCTGCATCACTAAGATAGACATAGAATGTCAAGATGGTTTTGACGCTGAATCTTAGAGCGGGGTTAAAATAGAAGTTTAGTTAGGGTTGAGGCACCTACACTAGCAATCGTCTATTTCTACACTGCATTATGACAAAAAGGCCAAAAGATTAGATTACTTTCTATAAGAACTGAAATGGGCACAGAATAGTTTACATAGTTACACCATCATCTTTAAGTATTTCATTCAGGAATAGACGAAAGTAACTCATAAAAGGCTCATCAGATGATGAACCCCTAGGGAGATTGCCTTCACTAGGTCTTCCAGTGATACTGTTTTTCAGTTTGTAGTTCACTGCTTTTTTGATCCCATGGTCTAGTATTTTTTTAAATTTTATTTTGAGATGGAGTCTCGCTCTGTCTCCCAAGTGATTCACCTGCCTCAGCCTCCCAAAGTGCCAGGATTACAGGCGTGAGCCACCACGTCCAGCCTAGACTAGTACATTTTACACTTTATCCATAAAGATAAACATTGCTTCTTTTTATTTATATATTTATTTATATTTGAGATGGGATCTTACTCTGTCACGCAGGCCGTAGGGCAGTGTCATGATTATAGTTCACTGTAGTCTCGAACTCCTGAGCTCAAGCCATTTTCCTGCCTCAGCCTGTTAAATCGGACTTAAGTGCCATATCATGCCTAAGACAGACGCTACATTTTTTTTTTAAAGACTGTCCTGTTCTTGTCCGCTAGGCTGGAGTGCAATGGCACAATCTCGGCTCACTGCAACCTCCACTCCTGGCCTCAAGCAATCCACCTACCTCAGCCTCCCAAAGTGCTGGGATTTATAGGTGTGCCCAACCCTAATTGATTTTTAAAAGACAAAACAATGTTGTGCTTCTAGGATTGAATAAAAATACTCCACATCCAAAGCTCTGTCAAAAGAAGTGCCCTAAAGAAAAAAATTGACTTTCCCTTTTTTTTTTTTTTTTTCGCTCTTACCAGCCAGGCTGGAGTGCAGTGTCGCCATCTTGGCTCACTGCAACCTCCATCTCCCTGGTTCAAGTGATTCTCCTGTCTCAACCTCCCAGGTAGCAGGGAATACAGGCGCCTGCCACCATGTGGAGTGCAGTGGTGTGATTTTGATCTCAGCTCACTGCAACCTTTGCCTCCAGGGCTTAAGCAATTCTACGTCAGCCTCCTGAGTAGCTGGGATTACAGGCATGTGCTACCATGCCCAGCTAATTTTTTTGTATTTTTAGTAGAGACGGGGTTTCACCATGTTGATCAGTTTGGTCTCAAATTCCTGAGCTCACATGATCCTCCCACCTCAGCCTCCCAAAGTGTTGGGATTACAGGTGTGAGCCACTGCGCCCGGCCAACTTTTATTTACGTCCACAAAAAATATGTATGCACTCTTAACTTTGATGATTTTATGTAAGGAGCAGAAAGGAGTGGCATTAGATTTTGATTAAGGATCTGTTTAAGCCGGGCGAGGTGGCTCAAGCCTGTAATCCCAGCACTTTGGGAGGCCGAGGCGGGTGGATCACGAGGTCAAGAGATCGAGACCATCCTGGTCAACATGGTGAAACCCCGTCTCTACTAAAAATACAAAAAATTAGCTGGGCATGGTGGTGTGTGCCTGTAATCCCAGCTACTCGGGAGGCTGAGGCAGGAGAATTGCCTGAACCCAGGAGGCGGAGGTTGCGGTGAGCCGAGATCGTGCCATTGCACTCCAGCCTGGGTAACAAGAGCGAAACTCCGTCTCACAAAAAAAAAAAAAAAAAAAAGGATCTGTTTATATTAGTTACTGGTTGGATTATTCTGCGTGAGAACTTTAGATTCCCTTCCTGGGTTTGTAATGGGACAAAGGATAGGGCCTCTTCTAAATCTCCCTTCTGGGTAACTAACCATGAAATTAGGGATCAGTAAACATTTTAACCAACTGTAATGCCAGTCACCAAGGGTGGTACAGAATCTGCATCCACACAATGAAGAATCGTGCTAATTAAGGAGGGTTAGGGTTTGTGGTGGGAGAGTAAAGAGGACTCTTTGGAGAAGTACTGGAGTGAGAAAGTATTTGTCAGTGCCTTTGCTGTGTCATAAACCACCCCAAAACTCTGGCTTACAATAGCATTTATTTTCTTGCTCCTGGGTCTAGTGGATTGCTCATGGGTTGGGGTGGGGAGGAGACTCTACTTCAGGAGCCAGAATTTGGGTTGAGATCATATCTTTTCCAAATGTTTCATTCTGGGATGTGGGTAGATGGAAAGTGCAGCTCTCTTCTGGCAATCACAGAAGCACAAGAGGCCAAATGACACCAGGCAAGCACATTTTTCATTTACTTGTGTCTTACCTGCTAACATTTCATTGGCTAAAAGCAGGTTGCATGGCCAAATTCAACCTTGATGTAGTGGGGAAATAATACCCTGTCCAATATGTGGTCTGGAAGATCACATGAAGGAGATAAGGAATTGGGAATAATAATTCATTCTATCCAAGGAAGACAGGATTTTTTTTTTTTTTTTTTTTTTTTGAGACAGTCTTGCTCTGTTGCCCAGACTGGAGTGCAGTGGCACACTCTTGGTTCACCGCAACTTCCGCCTCCTGAGTTCAAGCTATTCTTGTGCCTCGGACTCCTGAATGTTAGGGACAAGCTGTACAAGCTGACCCCTTCTCCCCACTCTGCTGGGCAGCTGCATTTCTGAACCCCTACCTAGGTGCCACATCAAGACTGCCAGACATGCTACAATTAAGCAAAGCCTGATTATAGCCATCTGGGCATTTCACGGGAGGACGGGGAAAACATATATTGGTTATCCATACTTATAAATTCCTGTTTGACACATATCTGTAAAAAAATTCCTGGTTTTTCTCTTTTTTTAAAAGACTATCATTACAAAACTCACAGGATAATGTACTGTAGGTCTGTTACAAGTTAACAAACTATCTCTGTGCCTGTTAACAGCGAATAGATGACCTTAGTGCTGAAACTCCCTTATGCCCCTCTCACCCTATATAACAGCCCCTGGTTTTGTAAGTCCAGGGCTGCCTCCTCTGACTGGTACAGAGCAGCCTGGCAGGTTAATAAAACTTTCTTGCCTGACTTTTGGTCTATTCTCCTTTCTCTTGGCTACCCTTATACCGAGTAGCTGCAATTACAGGCATGCACCACCACACCCAGCTGATTTTTGTATTTTTATTAGAGACAGGGTTTCACCATGTTGGCCAGGCTGGTCTCAAACTCCTGACCTCAAGCGACACCTGCCTAGGGCCTCCCAAAGTGCTGGGATTGCAGGTGTGAGCCACCACACCTGGCCACCACCTTGCTGCTTTTATTTTATTTATTTTTTCTTCTTTTTTTTTTTTCTTTTTTTTAAGA